TCCACACTGTTGGCGCTCGCAATCTCCGCTCTCGCATCATCTGATCCTCCGGCCAGAGCTTGTTCTTTACCTTTTCTTGATTTGCTGTTCGCGAAATTTCCGACTTGTTTCCATTCCTTTAAAGTAATCCAGTGGTATTTTGTTTTTCTTGCGCCTGACCCTCTTCTTTCGCGCTACAGGGAGCAGTCTGAGACCACCCTGTTCGTGGCCAACCTGCCGTTCGCCGTGACTGATGCCGAGCTGGCTGAGATCTTCGCCGGCCTCAAGGTGACCAAGGCCCACGTTGTGGTCAAGCGCAACGGCAAGTCCAAGGGCTTCGGTTTCGTCGAGTTCGCCAACCAGGAGGACCAGCTCGCTGCCCTCAAGGCCAAGGATGGTGAGGTCTACCAGGAGAGGCCCCTCAACGTCAAGGTCGCCCTCGTCCAGGCCGTCGCCGTGCCGCCGCTGCCGCCGCCGAGGCTGAGAAGCCCGCCGAGGGTGCCGAGGCCGCTGCCGCCCCCGCCACCACCACCACCGAGACTAAGGAGGAGAAGGCTGCTGAGCCTAAGGCCGCCGAGACCTCTGCCTAAACTGTCAACAACCGACCGGGGAAGGGGCAGGGTGGACGACCGTGTGACTTGGGTCCAGCCAGGCCACACGGCCGTCCACCCTGCGCACCGACCACCCGAACGACACACAACACACCGCGCCAACGAGCCCGCGTGGGCGGAGGTGGGGACTCACCGCCTCCGCTCGCGCAGGCACAAACCCAAATAAAAAAATACATAAAAATGTATCATCGTGCTGGTGGTGTCTTGTCTTGTGGAAAAGATTGATGATTGCATTCTACAAATCAAAACGCAAGAGATGGACAAAGCTGGCAGGAATATCCTCATTGTTGGTGATGTTGCCGTCAAGGAGAGTAGCGTTACTCTCCTACAATATAATAAATAATATAAATAATAATGAAATATACAGGCGGGGTCATACGCCAGCTGCATCGTCACACACAGTTGACCTCGCCGCCGGCCTGGAGGGTGGCGATGTTGCGGAGTAGTCGCTTCCGGTGGCCGAGCGAGGTGACGCCCATCTGGACCAGCATCGGCTCCGTGAGCTGCAGCAGCTCGGCGCCGGCCACGCGCTCGGCGGAGAAGATGGACTGGTACTGCTCCATGCCCGTGGCCTTGAGCCAGTTGAGCACCTCGCCCGTGGTCCACACCGTTACGCGGTTCTTGCTTCGCGGCGAGATGACGCAGGCGCGGGCCTCGTCGATGAGCCGCAGGATGCGCTGCCGGTGGCCCCACTTGGTGATGCCGATGTCGCTCAGCTGCACGTGGTCCATGCGCATGAGCTGCGCGCCGGTGACGCCGCGCGACACGATGAGGCCCTGGTACTCCTCGAAGCCGTTGACGCCGGCCCACCTGGCCACCTCCTCAGCCGACCACTCGACCATGTCGACGCGGTCGAGGAAGGCGAACGAACTGTACTCGCCGGCCTCGCGGATGAGCTTGAGCAAGCGCTTGCGCTCGCCCAGCTTGCCGATGCCCAGCGCGTGCAGCGAGGCGTTTTCGAGCTTGAGGAGGGCCTCGCCGGAGACCTTGCCCTTCTTGATGGCGTGGCGCGTGTCTTCGGAGAAACCGGTCTTGTGGAGGTACTCCACCAACTCCTTGTAGGACCACTTGGCCAACACTGTTTTGATGGGGAGTTTGAAGGGAGAAATAGGAGTTAAAAACTACAAAAGAGCGAAGACGGTGAAAACGGGCCGGGGGGGGCGTACCAGTGGCGTCGACGGAGCTGGTGAGCAGGGAGTCGGCGGATTGAGAGCGGGCGGGCGGATCACTATCAAGGACGGGGAACCGGGCCGGTCGCTTGATGAGGCCAACTCCGCTGTCCGGGGCCGTGGCCGTGCCCGAGCTGCGCGACAACTGCTTGTAGACCCGACCGTTGCCGTTGCCCATGGTCATGCTGTCTTCGCTGCTTTCGTTGCCGCCGCCGCCGCCGCTGCTGCTCGAACTGGTCGCGCTGCAGTTGCTGTCCTCCGTGTCTTCGTCGTCGCTCGAGCCGGATGGCGACAGGGACGACAGCAGGAATCGCGTCTGCTGGCGCGATGCGCGTATGTGCTCCTCGCGCCCGAGATCGTCGGCGCTGCGCACGATCGCCAGTCGGGCCATGACGTGCGGGCCGGGCGGGTGCAGCTGCACCAGTCCGTCGCTGGCCGCGAAGGGCATCAATGCCGGCTCGTTGCGCGGAGACCGCGGCGACACGAGCTCGGAGTTGTTCAGATTGGTGAGTTCGGCGTCGCCACCGCTTACGCCGCCGCCGCCGCTGCTGCCGCCGCCGGTGCTGAACTTGGTTCGCTTCTTGGTGGAGAAGAGCGACTTGCGGCCGAGCGACTTCATCCCGCTCGACAAGGCCGAGGGCGACGTGGGCTCGCCATCGGCGTCCTGGGCCTGGCCGATGCTGCCGGGCAGGTTGCCGCTGCCATTAATATCCGAATCGCTCAGACGACGGCCCTCCTGTTGACGCGCAAACCCCGTTTAGAAGCCGCCGCACGCACACGCACACGGCGTGTGGAGGACGTACGGTGATCATGAAAATGGTGGAGTGGAATTTGGGGATGCAGCTGCGGATGAAGTTCTGGGAGAGCTCCGGCGAGGTGGCGTCCTCCTCCACGCCCGTCTCGTTGAACACGTTCTGCAGCAGCTTGGCGATCTTCACCAGCGCCTTCCGCGCCACGATCGAAATCTCCTTGCCTACACAACACGACACACACGCCACGTCACACACGACACACGACACACGACACACAGTGCACGCGTAAGCACACAAGGCACGCGCAGAGGACTGTTGGGGCGCACGCACCGGGCTTCACGAGGTTGTACAGCTCCGGTGAGACGATGGCCGGACAGTAGCAGCGGAGTCCGACGAGCGCGCCCACCGCGCGAAATTCGAAAGCCGGGAAGCGCTCTTTGGCCGCCAGGTACAGGTGCTTGATGGCCCTCTTGACCAGGCTGTGTGCGTTTCACAAACATAAGTATATAAACAATATGTAAACATAATAAAGAAATGTAATAAAGTGAACAAGTTGTACCTGGGAGAGTCATCGATGACCTCGAGCACGGCTTTGAACATCTTTTCGGAGCAGGCCACAAGCCACCGCGTGAGCGCCTCGCCTTCCAGGTCCTCCTTCTTCTTGGCCCTTCGGAAAAACGCATCAATAAACAACCGGTTGGTGTACAACCAATCGGATGCCGATGAATTGGCACTAATTGTTTTTCACCACCTGGAACTGGTCGCACGGCAGAATGAAATCAAGCAAGAAACAAGAAATAAATAAATATGTACGGAAAATATGGTGCTATATATCACACATAAAACGGTGGTGCCCCATATAAATATAGTCCAAAAAGGGTGCTGGGCGGGCGGAGACGTACTCCTTCATGATTTCCCTGACTAGGGGTGCGAGCTTGGCCAAGGGCTTGGCGGAGGCCGCGCGGACAAACTCGCCCACGAGGTCCACCATGAGCGACTCCTCGCGCCAAAGCTGGGCCTCGCACGCTGCGCAGCCAAACAACGATGAGGGGGGGGGGTGAGAAGAAAGCGAAAGCGACAGAAAAAAGAGCGAAAGCGGAGGCACTTGGCCAAGTGGTGTAGGTCGGAGGTAAAGCGCGCACCTGTGGAGGCGACCTCTTTGTCGATGGCGCGCTCGATTAACGGGAACACGCACTCGTCGCTCTCGGGGAAGAGAGCAGCGATGGCGGCCGACCACTCTCTCCGAGTTGTTGTCGTGTCCATCGTGTCGTGCTATGCGTTTGGGGGTACGACTGGCTCTGGGCAGTTGGTGTCTGTTGGTTTGGCGGACAAAAGAGTGAGCGCGGCGCGGGAGAGCGAAAAGACGAAATGGAATGCGCACCAGCTGGTGAACCAGTCAGCGAGGGGGTGCTAGGCGGTGCGATGGCGCAGGCTTGGGTTCGGGAGCAGACTGGAGCCTAATGGCAGTTCGCAGCGAACTTTTGGTTGCGCGGGCAGTGAGGGGTTCCGCTGCGGAGGTGAAGCGGTAAGCAACCGTCGGAGATGACTGAACGCGCTCCTCGCCACAGGCCGGTGACGTTGGTCGTGTCTGATTTCTGGTTGTGGTTACGTGTATCTGCGCCACCAGCTGAACGTTAGTTAATTTGTTAAATTGCATTTTGTTTTCACGGCAACCGTTGTCAATCCCATCTGTTGCGTGTGCTTGGGCGGCTGAGTCTCACCCAGGCTGTGCTTTACTGTTCAGAGGCCTCTGGGAGGTATGGTGCAAGGCCTAGTGGGTTTGGGTGTGAATGGCACGCGCAGCGTCACGGCGCTTTATGTGTGGGAGTCCGGGTTGGGCAGAGTCATGTGTTTCTACCGGGTGCAGAAAGCAGCTGGCCAGTTGCTCTTTGTTTGGTTATGTGATCACTTCGCAGCAACGACGTGCCGCGCTAGAGGAAGTTGCACGACAAGCGCGAGGGCTCCTGGCGTCCAATCTCTGGCCAGGCCGCACGCGAAGGCGCGACAAGAAGGACAACGCGGCCACCGGTGAATCCCACGGCGTTGGTTGGCGCACCCTCTTTCGCTGTCCAGAACAGGCAAAGCCGGAGCGTCTGACAAGAAAGACCCATCAGCACAGACCGGGCAACGGCCGTTGGTTGGCGCACTCCCTTTCTAGGTTGTCTGACAGCTGACGTACGTCCCGACCACCACGATGCTTGGGCGTTGCTTACCGCTCGCAGCTCTGAGGGTCGCAGGTGCCATGGGCGTGCCTTCGTTGTCTTGTTGTGCGCAGTGTGCCGTGGGTGACGTACTGCGGTTGATTGCCCGCGCGTGGTGGCGGTGCGATGCGCATGGGGCGAGGTGAAGCACATTTAGAAGCGGCGTGCAGTGTGCCACAGACAGTATGAATAAATACAACACGAGGTGGAAAGAGGGTGCGAGAGCATGGGCGAGGGAATCAGCGTGAGAGCAGAGGTGGGGGGGGGGGTGGCGTCAATCGTCGCCCAGGACGACCTTGCGGAAGGTGAGCGACACCCTTCGCTGTCGTGGAATCTGTCGGCCGTCCACCTTGTCCTTCTTCCTGGCTGGAATGCAGTGTGTCCACTCATATCGCGCCGCGCCCTGCAGGTAGCATTAACGTATTGTGTAGTGGAGCGTGAGGCGGTCAGAAGCGTGGGTGGTGGGTGTAGGCCGGGAGTGTCGCATCGGGGCCCACATTCGTACCTTCATCAAGACGAGTGAGCGTCGGCCAAGAAGCACGGGATGCGTGGTTTTGGTTGCCTTGTGCTTGAACTCCATCACGCACGTCGAGCCGAGGCTGATGGAAGCGATCTCGTTGTCAAAGAGGCTGGGCTTGTCGACGTGTGCGCTGATGCCCTACATGTAGGCAGTGAGCTCATGTGGAAGTGGGCCGTTGGAGGGCGTGGATGGGGAGGAAGTACTTGTCCAGGGAGGTACTCGTTGATGATAACCTGGTCTGGTCGTTTGGAGAGGACGTGTCGGGCCATGAGTCGATCGATGAGCTCGTTTAGAAAGTCGGGCAATGCGCCCAGTTGCATGCTTCGATTGATACTGCGATTTCTGCACAAATCCGCCAAGATGTGCGACCGAGATTGAGCCTTTAGATTTGGTACAAGATGAAGACAAAATACAATAAATTGCGACTAGGACGTACTTGTAATCATACTTGTAGCCATAGTGCTGCACTCGGCGCTTGAGATCGAACAGCCACTGCCCTCGATCGATGTGCTCCAGTAGTTCCCTCTCCTCCTCATTGGTGATGAAATTCTCCACGTAGGTCAGCCCCTCCATCTGCACCTGCTCGACCGCATGCACCTGCCCATTTCCGTCACCATTGCTACCTTCCTCGCCACGATGCTTCTTGGCTGGCCTCTCCATCTCACAAGAGTGCAATTTGTTGTTGAATCTTATTTTGACAGGCAATTTCCTGGAATCGTTTTGCAAGAATTCCAAGACAAATACAATGTCTGTGAGTAGGGGAGGGGGAAGGAGGATCTAACGCAGGGAGAAAGAAAGTGAGTGTTGAACAATCCAGGTCTCCAGCAGAAAGTTCAGGCCTTGAATACCCTCAGCCCCTTCTTTACCTCCTCCACAAAAAGTCTTAAATGTATTTAGAAGCATCTTTTGAATGTCACCAGCAAAGAGCTGATGACATACTTCAATCATGATCTCACATCCTCATCAAAGAGCGTGCCCTCCACATTATTATTTCCAGCCCTCAACTCTGCTGGGTAAGTTGCACCAGCCCTTTTATTCTGTATTTTTCGCTCTTTTTGTACCAATGAGATGGCGTAATTGTCGTGCTGGGTTTTATCTAGGCAGCGCCGAAACCAGGCACCAAATTCTGCGAGGGGCACCGGCACCTCTTCATCTCCAGCACCCAGACCCCACAACCCCACACTCTCATCCTACGCTATGGCCAACGTCGAGAACCCCGAGATTCAGCAGGCGTACGAGGACGTTCGCACTGACTCCACCGGTTACAACTGGTACGCACTCGCTCTCATTCTCACATGAATATTTTCCGTTCTTCGGTTCCGTTTGTTTGTTATCAATTGAGCGATTCGATCCTTCTCCTTTCGTTCGCCGGCAGTGTTACAACACTCTACATTCGTGCGTGCTTGCATTCTATTAATTACAACATTTATCGCTCAGGTTCATCCTCGGCTACGCGAACAACACGACCATCAAGGTTGATGGCAAGGGCAAGGGTGGCGTTGCTGAGGGTGTCTCGCACTTCAAGGAGAACGAGGTGCAGTACGGCTTCTTCAAGGTGTCCTTCGTGGCCAACGATGAGACCAAGAGGACCAAGTTCGTCCTGGTCTCGTGGTCGGGCGAGAAGGCCTCCGTCCTCAGGAGGGGTAAGGTGAGCGTCCACAAGGCCAGCATCAAGTCCATCATCAAGGACTACGCCGTCGAGGTCTCCACCTCCTCCATCGAGGACCTCACTGAGGAGAACTTCGTCGCCAAGATCAAGGCTGTCAACTACTAGAAAGAGTGCATCTGTACCACTGCTGTGCTTCCCGCCCAATCTGTAATCTAGCCCTCTTCAGTCGTTGCGTTGATTAAACACCTGTGTTCTACACTCTTGCACTCACTTTCGTACGCAAATCATCGCCGCTTGCTCATCTTCCCGGAAAGGGCAAACAAAAATAACAAATTTCATCCACAAATCGCCAACACAACAAACAAACGCAACGCGTCAAAGATGAGACGAACGGCAGCAGCTCGAGGATTAACATCCCGCCCCCTCCGTTCATGGTTTTCGTCCTCTCCTTCATCCACAACGGCGCTGCGCCTCTTCAGCACAACCCGCCCTCTCGGATCATTACGGTCATCTCCCTCACGATTTGGCCTCTGGTCTCCTGCCTCGCTTCTTCGAAGTGGCACTTGCCGGCTTCCATCCTCCTCTCCCTTCCTCCTCACGATCCGACGTGCCTACGCCACACCAGGAGGGAAGGGCAGCAGCAAGCAAGAATGGCAGCAGAAGAACAAGAACATGGGCATGATCCTCACCACGCTCATCTTGGGCGGCATCGCCATCTCCTACGCGTCGGTGCCGCTCTATCAGCGATTCTGCCAAGTGACCGGCTATGGCGGCACGACGCGGAGGGTCGAGGAGAGCAACATGTCGTCGCCAGATCGATGGAAGAAGCGACCCGAACGGCCGCTCACGGTCAAGTTCTACAGCAACACCAACTCCAACATCCCCTGGGTGTTCTACCCGCTCCAGAACGAGGTGAAGCTGGTGCCAGGCGAAAGCACGCTCGCCTTCTACCGCGCCGAGAATCCATCGCCCGATGACATCGTGGGCATTGCGTCGTACAACGTCGTGCCGGCCAAGGCCGGCATCTACTTCCAAAAGATCCAGTGCTTCTGCTTCGAAGAGCAGCTGCTGCCGGCCAAGAAGGGAGTGGACATGCCGGTCTACTTCGTCATCGATCCCGACTTCGTCGACGATCCCAACATGCACGACGTCGAATCCATCTCGCTCTTCTACACCTTCTTTCGAGCTAAAGATTTTGACGATTTGAACGCCCAGGCCTACGACGAAAGCCAACAGCAGAAGGAGCAGCAGACGCCACACCAGCTCGCGCAGCTACAAGCGGTGGTGGAGAAGAAGGAAGAGACACAGACGTAAAAGTGGAAAAAAAGATTTACATTGCGAATATCTGTGCTACTTGCCACCGGCGTCTTGCTGCCTCTTCTCTTCAGCAGCCTTCTGCTTCTCGCGCATCGCGGCAGCATCCCTGATGGGGGGAGGTGAGCAACGCTTAATCCCAAGGGGGGGGTGCGCAGCACAAACCTCTCCTTACGCTTGGCAGCAGAGTCACCATCCTTGACCTTTCCCTTGCTTAAGTCAGCCTGCTTCTTTTGGGCCTTGGCTCTCGCCCTCTCTCTTTGATCGCCTCCTGCATTTGCACAATGACAACGTCGTTGTTGGGATCAGTTCCGCTCTATTCTTTTGAACCTCCACGAAGAGAAGAGAGAAGGCGTACTGGTCATTATGTACAAAGGGGCGTCCGCGAATTGAGTTTGATGTGGAGGAGTGTGATGTTGTTTGGCGAGTTGTTTTCTTTTTGTGCCCGAAGTGCCGTTTCCCGTGCGGATCTTCTCCATACCTTGCATACCATGGAAAGCTGCCGAATTTTCAAGTGAGTGGCGCTGCGAAATTTCCGTTTCTGAGAAATAAAAAGGTGTTATCATTAAATAACTCTTTATTCATATTGCCGTTCGTTCTGTTGTCCCCTTGCGGTGTGATGCTGGTGAGGTTGGCAGTGCCGCTAACTAATACACTTGAAAACATGCTGGCGACCGCCGTCCTCCTCGCACTCTTGCCCGCTCTCGTTATTTACACTTTTCTACTCCCTCCCCTGCTCTCTCGTCGCCGTCGGCTCCGCATCGCGGAGTCGCCTCGTCGACGCGGTTGTCGTTGTCGGTTCGTTTCGTTTCGAAGGTCGTTGTCGTTTACCTGGACTGCTGGGGGTGGGCCTTGCCCTCCTTGGCCACGGGGCCGAGGGGCCTCTTGTTCTTCTTGGCCCCGTTCTTGCCCTCGACGTAGCCGCGGCGGGGCTTGTTCATCTCCTCGTCGTCCTTGCGCTCCTTGTTCTTGAGGCCGATGATGCCGTGGGTGCCGAACGCGATGAGGAACATGAAGACGAGCACGATCGCCATGAAGAGCGACAGGAGGCCGATGATGCCCGAGTTCATCATGCCGTCGCACACGTGGTCGCTGTTCTTCTGGGCGTAGGACTTGACCACCTTGCACGTGAGCAGGTCGTCGAGCGCGGCGATGCCGGTGAGGGTGACGTCCTCCGACTCCGACTCGGCCACGTTGGTGTCGTCGCACGACAGAACGCCGAACGAGATCGCGGCGAAGTCGCCCTTCTGCTCCTTCTCGAGCTCGCTGCAGAGGTCCTTCATCACGCCCTCGGCCGCCACGTCGTACGAGAACAGCAGCATCGTCGGCAGGAATGCGAGGAACGAGATGACCATCACACTACAGGGAAGGAGAAGAAAGAAGATTGGTCATTGGGAGCGTTGCACAGAACCTGATGAGAAAGTGTAACGTACATGAGGAAGAAGGTGCGCTTGGGCCAGACGCCAGCGATGAGACCGGCGACGGAGGCGAAGACGAGGAAGGCGCAGACCACGATCTCGATGATCCACTTGATGAGTTGGACTGTGTTGAGGATGTCGATGCTGTCCTTGAGGTCGCTCGCGCCGTTCCTGTAGTCGGACACGGTCTTCTGGATGCTCTGCGAGAGGCCGTTCACTTGCGACTGGTATCGGTCGATGGTGTTCATGACCGACTGCAGAAAGAGAGAAAGAGAGAAAGGCGCGTGAGCTCTCGGAGTTAAGAGAATGGCGGCAGAATGAGAGATGAATGTACGCCGGCGAAGCTCGAGGTGCCGTCAGTGAAGTCGGAGGTGGCGTTCTTGACGCTGATGTCGGTCAGGACGATGGCGACGCAGAACAGGCTGTGGTTGTGATGAAGGCGAGTTAAAAACCAAAGAACGAAGCGAAAGGGAACGACAAACAGAAAGAAAGAAAGAAGAACGAAGGCGGCCGGTGTAGACGCGTACATGGTGAGGATGGACAGGAGGGCCACCAGAGCGCGCGGCAGTCGGAGCTTGTACATGCCCTTCTCGATCCAGGGGCCGAAGAGGAACTGGTACTTCTGTTCCGGCATGGGAGGGCACCGACACTTCCAGCAGCAGTAACTGATCACACAAACCAGTAGGCAGAGCCAGACAATCGTACCCACGATCACACCCGGGAATGCCAACTGGAAGATGACAATCTGTAGAACAACAACACAACTGGTGTAAGTCCGTTGTTGACGAAGACGAAGAAGAGGTTGAAGATGAAGAGTGAAGTGGTGGTGGGTACCAGGGTGTAGTGGGAGGAGTCGCAATCGCCAGACGTGCTGTCGCCGGTGTAGCTGCAGAAGCGGTCATCTGACGTTCCTGGGAAGATAGGCATCGTGTGTGGTTGTGTTGTGGTGTCGGTGTCGGTGCTGGTGCTCGGGCGTCGATGCCGTTGGGTGTGGGTGGTCTTCTTCTTGTGTTATGCTACAACAATGTCTTCTTCTTCTTGTCGTTCGTTGGAGCTTCTGCTTCTTCTTCGTGAGCTGCCGAGCGGGCTGTGTTCGTGCTTGTTGTGGTGAGCCTGAGTTGATGAGGGAATGAGGTTGGTGGGGCGGCTGCGGTCTAGTTAAAGGGCTGGCCCACCCGGCCCCGGCCCATCCCTAATTTCCACCAAAACCAAGGGAGGCCAGATGAAGATCGCTCCCGTCCCACGCCCTGCACGCCCAAGGGGCGCTTGCCCAAGCAGTGGAATTGGTTGAACGGCCAATCAGATTATAGGTCGAATTTTCGCACTGAAAAACAGGGCATTTCTGCGTAATTCACGCACCTTGAGTGCTGGCAGCTGAGGTCGTGGGTTCGAACTCCACCACTGCCGTCGGGCCTTTACAAGGCGCAGCGCGCATGTGACGTGGTGTATATCACATGTGGAGCCATCACCTTGCAGTAGTGCCAGACGGCGAGTTTTCACTGGCATTGTTCGCCTTGGGGAGATGAGGGCCACGTAAACAGTACTGAGGAAATTGAGAACAACGAATGACCACCACCTCTCGGAGGTCAATCTCGCGCTTTTGTGTGCTTCTTCTAACAAAGAGAAGTTGCAGTGTGTTTATGTGGGAGGGGGGACTGTCGCTACCACTTGCGGGCTGGCTGGGCCTTTTTGAAGGGAGGCACGTCGGCGCGCAGGATTTCGCTCTCCAGCTGGTGCTCCACCAACAGCTGGTTGAGGTGCCCGTACACGGACCTGTCCAGGAACAGGTTGGCGCCCCTCTTCAACAGCACGTCCTGTGTGACAGCGCACACACGGCACACGCACACGCACACGCATACGACCGCACGCACGCACACGCGAAAGGGTGGCGAGGTGAGAAGAGGGAAATGGGTGGACGTCGAAGGGAAGAAGGAGCGGGTGCCTCCTCGCCGTATTGGTCGAAGTAGGGGGAGCCCCACAGACAGCTCTTGTCCTCGGCAATGAGCAGCACGCCCGACGTCTTGGCCAGCAGGAAGAGGCCTACCCCGCCGCCGCACATGATCGCATGCTGTCATGTGTGTTGTGTCGTGTTGCGTGTCGTGTGTCGTAAGCCACCGATGAGTGGAGCTTGTCCGAACGGAAAGGTTTGTGACGCGTGGGGATGGCGCACCCGAAAGCATTCGCCGCAGCGTGTCTGCTTGCAGCAGTCACCCTCGGCACACAGGAGGCTACCGCAGATCAGACAGATGGCCGGCTTGCTCGGCTGCGTATTGCACTTGGAGCACTTCTTGTCCAGGTACGCTAGGAACACATCTGGTGGCCGTCATACTCCTGTGAGTAAACACACGCGCACGCGCACGCACCACCGCACACGCACCACACATCAAGAGGAACGAACCTTGGAAGAGGTGGGGCAGTTCGATGAGCTTGAAGGGCACCGGGCTGGCGATGCATGGAATGCTGCCCGCCGCGGGCGGCGATGTCTGTCGGTCGACAGCCGACTGGTGGCGCCACCAGCCCTGGACGAGCTGCCACATCGGATCTAAATTACCTCCGAACAGCAGAGATTCGAGCGGAGGCAGGCCGAGGAAGGCGGCCAGCACATCGAACTCGGCGGAGAGGAGCTCATCTCCGTCTTCGTTCTTTGTCTTCTCGCTATCTTTAGCTCCGAGCAGCCCGCCGCGTTCTTCCTCCAGCGCGAGCAGTCCGGCGAGCGGGAGGTGGTGGCAGGTGGCCAGGAACAGGGCCGTACGCCGAAGCAGCGGCACGGTGTGGGCCTTGACGAACCGCACGGGCGCGTCGTGCGACGCCAGCGCCTGCTCGGCCGCCACGCGCCGGTCGCCCTCGCCTCGTCCGTCCAGCACATCGAGGCTCGGCAGCCGCGCCGCCATTCCGCGTCGCCGTGGCTTCTCTTGGTCTTGGTCTTCGTTTTCCTCTTCGTCTTCGCTTTCGCTTTCGTTCTTTCCCTGCACGTCGGCGCATGCGCGGAGATACCGAAGCAGGCAAGCGATGTCGTCATCGCTCGGCTCCGCCGCCGCCTCCCGTTCTTCCTCCTCCATCTCGTCTTCCCACGACTCGGGTGTGCTGCGTCGCTCCCGCCGCGAGGCCATCGGCTCTGGCCGGTAGGACAGGAGCGACAACAGCACCTGCGTCACCGCCGCGGTGAGGGCCACGTGCACGAACGGGGCCGCCCACGCAGACGACGACGAAGCCGAAGTCGAGGGCGAGTCTGAGTCCGAAGCCGAGTTCCAAATTGGTGGCGATGACGCGGCGTGGGCCTGCTCGAGGCTGATCCAGGTGACCAGCAGCGGGAACAGCTCGGTGGACAGGAGCGGCTTCGCGCCCACCTCGTGCGACGAGCCTCGCTTTGTGTGTGTGTGTGTCGGGAAGACAAAGAACAATATGACGATTAGCGTGGATGGCTGTCACGTGGTGTGGTGCTGTGTGTGAGTGGTGGTGCATGTCGTACGATGGTGGCGCGAACAAGGCGGCGCCATCGGCGGAGATCCGAGCGGCGTTGGTCGGCGAGACTTGCTTTCACCAGTTCGTACACGTCCTTGAAATGCGCGTACCTGTTACCGTGCGTCAGCCTCAACAATGAGTACCTCAGACTCCATACACACACGTACGCACGCACACAACACAACGCACGCACACACACAACACACACCTTCGCTCCGAGAGACAACTAAAGCGACGCATCACGCTGCGCTGCTCCTCGACCTCCTCGGCAGTCGACTGCTGGTCGTGGTCCGCCACCGGGCCGGAGCCCCGGATGGAGAGTTCGAGCTCGGCGATGCTGTAGCTCAAGTTGGCCAACAGATAGAGCGGCTGCTCCCGATGCTTCAGCGACGGCGATGGCTTGTGTCTGCGCGCCATCACAAAGTTACCATGTTAAGCACCCGTGTCGTTGGTCGTGTCGGTTGTGTCGTGTCGTGTCGTGTCGCGTGTACCGATACTTCTTGACGGCGTAAATGTGTCGTGTGAAGCGGGAGGTCAGGGCACGCATCTTGGCGCGGTCGGCCCGCTGCTTGTTTCTGGACTCACGCGCCAACGCCTCCGCTCGAGCCGCCTCATCCGCCATCAATTCCTCCTCCTCCCCTTCTCCTCCCTCAACCTCTCCGAACTCGTACTCACCACCACCACCACCGCTCTCCTCTTCCACTTCCTCCTCCTCTCGACCATTACCACCACTGCCGTCGATCCGACTCTCCTCCTCCTCCTGCTCATCTTGGTTCATCTCCTCGCCATTGCCGTTGCCATCGGCGTGGCCGTCGACGTCGTCCATCTCCTCCTGCTGCTGCTCCTCCTCCTGGGGATGCGCATGGCCAGGCGCGGCCGCCGCCTCGTTGAACTCGAGGTCGGAGTCAGACGAGTCTTCGAGGGAGGGCATATCGTCGAGATCCGAATCGCTGCTCGTATCGTGGCCCAGGAGGCCCTCCAGCCGCTCCATCCTCGCCGCATCCTCGTCTTCTTCGTCTTCGTTCTCTTCTCCTTCGCTTTCGTTTTCGTTCCAGGCCCATTCTTCGTCTTCACCACCGCTGAACATGGCCTCGTCCTGTTCGAGTTCGTACTCGTCTTCCTCCTCGCCGAGGAACTGGAAGAGCCATCGCTCGTAGGACTCCTGGCCGAGCGGTGGCTCGGTGGCGGGCTGCAGCGGCGAGGGCGGAGCGATGGACGATGGCACCAGCGGAATCAGCACGTTCGATAGTCTGCGGCATTGTGGACACCTGCGTGTGCGTGTGCGTGTGCGTGTCGTGCGTGGTGAGAAAAGGGAATTGAAGGCATTGCAGGGCGGCATGGTGGTCGTGTACCAGAATTCTTGGAATATTTCGCTGAGGAGCATGTCTTCGTGGGAGCCGTAGTTGCGTCGCGACGTGGCCCGAGCCTCCAGGTAGCCCTTCCAGCAGTCTGCGCGACACGACAGGTCAGGCGTGTGTTGTGTGCGTGTCTGCGTCGTGTGTCGTGTGTCGTGTGTCGTGTGTCGTGTGTCGTGTGTCGTGTGTCGTGTGTCGTGTGTCGTGTGTCGTGTGTCGTACCAAAATGAATGGTGTGGCCGCAGGACTGCATGAGCACCGACGTCTGCTCAAAGTCGGCGTAGAGCAGCGGCGAGACCGGCTCGGCCGACACGGATGACGATGACGAGGAGAGAGATGGCCCGGCGGCGGAGGGCGAAGCGGGGCTGCGCACGGCCTCGTGGTGGTGTTCGTGAGCGTGGCGCTGGACGTAGTCGTCGGTGATCGGTTGGCTGTTGCCCGCCTGCACCTCGCGCGCGTAGGCATCAAGCAGCATATCAAGCAACTGTGCGGACACATACGCGGCGTCAACACACACGACACGACACGACACACAGCCACGACGCACGCACGCACGGCCATGGTACACAGATATGGCACCCGTGGATTGTCGGTGAAGCCTTCGAGACGGTTGATCGACACCATGAGGGGGCTCTCCTCGAGGAATCCACGCAGCAGCTCCATCAGCTCCTTCAGCTCTTTCACCGTGATGTGCACGCCCAAAGGCTCTGTACGCAAAAAGCGGCAGAGGTAAGTGCCATGGGACGTGTGTGTGTGTGTGTGTGTGTGTGACAATACCTGGTGGTGCCACTGGCTGCTCGTCGCTCGGCGAGAGAGGTTCGGCGACCTCCTTGTCCTTGCCCTTGCTGCCGGCATCCTTGCCCTTTTGCTGCTCGATTACTTCGAGGAATGTGCGCCTCCAGTTCTCCAGCCGAACCGGCTGCTGGTTGGCCTGCATATCATACAGCATACCGCACGCACGCACACGCGTAACGCATCCAGATACGTCAGCAGCGGACGCGAACAAGTGAATTGAGCGGCATCAAACCAGGGAGAGCAGGCGGGATCGCTTGCAGGCGCCGATGAGACCCAGGGGCTGCTCATCCCACGGCTTCGTTTCTCGACACAGTACACACTCCTGCGCGCGAGAGCGTTTGGGGTCAGTTAACTAGGGTTACGTGTACGCACCGCACACGACACACGACACACGACACACGCACAAAACGCCAGAGCTGGTGAAGAGGATTACCGCGGTCGGGTGGCCGGGGTAGACAGAGGGGGCGACCTCGCCCGTGGTGCCTCCCTCCTCCTCGCCGCCTTCGGCTTCCTCGGTGTCCATCTTCAGCTCCTGGGTCTGGCTCTTGTCAATGAAGGCCTGCTGCTGCCGCTTCATCTGCGCCATAATACGTTCCCTGGGCGCCAGTCACTCCATCGTGAGAAAACAACACACACCACCGCACACACACGATCGCACACGCACACACGATCGCGCACGCCCAAAGGCTTAAGTGTGGTACCGGGCGCGCTCGCGGGCAGTCTTGGCCTTGCTCTCGCGGCTGGCATCCTCGAAGCTGGCGTCGATCACGCGGGTGCACTCGTCGTCCATGACCCGCACCACGCGCAGCAGCTCGTCCAGGAAGGGCTTCTCCTCGGCCAGCGGCCGGTCCTGCTGCTCGCTCGCCTTCCGCAGCTTGATCAGCAGCTCGAGCATGCTGGTCGCCTCTTCGCCCTCTTCGCCCTGGTTGCCGCCCACATCGCCGCTGCGCACCTTCAGCTTCAACCGGTCCAACAGGGAGAACGGGCCGGCGGTGGTGCTGACGTCAGCAGAGCTGCTGCCGCTGCTGCCGGGGTGCTTGAGGGCGGAGCACGGGTTGGACTCGTCCTCGCGCACGTCGACCGACACGTCACGCGCGCAGGCGTCGGCTCTGTCGGTCGTCTCCCGGCGCAGGCACAGCATGAGCAGATGCAGGGCTCCGTCCAACACCGACTCTGCCCCATCAACCAACCAATTGAGTCAATGAGCGCTCAAGGGCGCGGTGGGTGAGTCAGGGGTGACAGAGTACGTACCCGAGTACTTGGAGGATTTGGCGGAGGTCGCGGTGTGGTGCAGCACGGTGTAGATAAGGGAGTGCACGAGAGGCGAGCGGAGAATGTCGTCGACGTCGGCGAACATGGCGTAGGGCACGCTCGGGGTGGCGATGGGCAGCAGCCCCTTGCCTGGAGAGCCAAGGAGGTGTGAGGTCTCTCACGAGAGAACGGCACAGTGCCGTTCAGGCATGACAGGAAAAGGGGACCCAAAGCACAACAAACGCAAACCTTTGATGGCGATGTGGTAGTTCTCGGTGGCCAGGTTGAGATCGGCCTGGGTGAAGTGCAAGAAGTAGGGGTCGAATTCGTTCCAGTACCTGGCCAGGTCGACACAAACAAACGCGTGAGTGGCCGTCTGTTGGAAAAATAAAGCAAGCAAGCGAAAGCGGACGCACTCGGGCTTGAGTTGGAAGTAGCCCTGCTTGCCTGCCTGCGGGCGCACGAACACCGCCACCTCGGCCAGGATCTGTTCCGCCTCTGATATACATGACGCAGCATCAGAGATAAATGAGTTCTTTAAGTGTGCCGTGTGCCGTGTGTCGTGTGTCGTGTGCCGTGTGTCGTGTGTCGTGTGTCGTGTGTCGTGTGTCGTGTGTCGTGTGTCGTGTGTCGTGTGTCGTGTGTCGTGTGTCGTGTGTCGTGTGTCGTGTGTCGTGTGTCGTGTGTCGTGTGTCGTGTGTCGTGTGTGTACCCTTTTTGGCTATCTTTTCGTAGGTGATCTGTTTGATGAGCTTGCTATGGGTCATCTGCTGGCCCGCGGCCAGCCACTGAATGATCTGCTTGCGCAGGGCGTGCTCCGTCGAGATCATGGCTCGGTTGGTGACCACCTCCAGCACAAGCCGGAAGAAGCCCTCCGCGAGCGCCGACGCCTGCTGCGGATCATACGAACCCTCGGCCGCGGCCGGCGCCTCACCCACGCTGCGACGCAGTTCGAAGAAGTCGAGCAGACCGAAGCGCTGGACGAGGGTCGCCACAAAGTCCTCGGCGCCCAACAGCACCACGGCGCATTGCATGGCCTGCGGCGCGGGCGTACCCGGGTGGCAGGTGAGAAGCGTGAACGCCAACCCTTCTACTCAGTGCATCGCAGACTACATCGCGTACCAGCAAATCGCCTCGGGAGCCTCGGCCAAACAGGGAGCTGCTGCGGTACCAACGAGATTGCCTGACAGAGAGCGAAAGCGTCATCGTCTAGCTAGTGGGACAGTAAAATGCGGGAGAAGAGCAGAGTACGAGCAGTACGTACCCGGACATGGTATGCTCGCCGTTGCGCCTCCACATGCCAGCGTCGATTTGGGCCAGGAGCAGATGACACTTGAGCGGGTGCTCCAGCAGCAGGAGCGCGCCCTCCTTGTCGTGCACGCCCAGCAGGTCCGCCACGCTCACGCTATTGTTGAGAAGAATGCCAGAAGTTCGCAGCGACACAAGCCCCCCCCACGACACAAGACACACGACACACATGGGTGAGAGGGTGTTTGGGAAGCTGAGAGGAGCTGTTGGGCCCACCTGTCCTGCAGGAACGCGTTGGTGGCTGAGGCGGAGGCGACGCTGTGGACGAAGGCCATGAGGTTGCGGTGGAGCGGAATGTGGAACGAAACGCCGTCGCGCTCAGGGCTCCAGCGTATGCTTCGCAGCTCGTGCTTTGCGTCGGGCGGGTCTGCGCGATCGCACACACATACACATACGTGTGAGCCTAGTGCGACTACCGACTGACTGGCGATGACAAACGCTCACGGCTAGCTATGCGTACAGTACAGGGCCTTGAATGCTGTGGTCTGCCACTCGACGCCGTCGCTGCAGACGAGGTCTAGCAGGTACCGCACCTGGTCGCGCACCACCGCGTGGATCTGGGGCCAGCGTACGCCGCCTGCTTCGAATTCCGTCATCGCCACTGAGGCCTCGCCCTCGTCGCCCGTCGACGTCTTGTGCGCTGACGTCAGAGCCGCCTGGACGGTGAGCGCCACGTCCCTCCCCAGCGCGGCGATGAGGTCGAGCAGCCGCATGTCCAGATAGAACGACGTGCGCCAGTCATCTAGCTCGTACTCCACATGGTGTCCCACCTGACGCTTATTCACATTCATGCCTGTCGTGTCGTGTCGTTGGTCGTGTCGTGTCGTGTCGTGTCGTGTCGTGTCGTGTCGTGTCGTGTCGTGTCGTGTCGTAAGCATTTAGAAAACAATGTAGGGTTAAAAGGAATGGGAAGGGTACCGTGAAGCATGGCGAGGATGTGCTGCCACGTGGTGAAGGCGCCCGGCAGGCCGAAGATAAACAGCGCGCTGGTGCTTCGGTGATCCAGCGCCATGTCCAGGTCGCCAATCACCCGCTCCCACGGCGACTTCTCCGCACGGAGGACCCGCTGCGTCAGGTCGATCAGCTTCCTCTGTCTCCTCTTGATGTTGCCTTGCCCACCACTGCCAGCCTCGGTTTCTTCTCCGCTCGTTGCCGCTTCGTTGCCAGCTTCGGTCTCCGTCTCCATCGGCTCGCCGTCGCCGCCTCCTGCGCTGGGCTGGGTTGTGTCGCTGCCGTCGGTCAACGTCGAGAATTGGTCGAAGAAATCGGTCAGACACTTGAGCAGCATGTCGAACAGGCCGTGCTCCCGGGCCAGCCGCGTGACAAAGCCGGGAAAGCTCAGCATCTGGGCGGCTGCATTGGTGTCAGCCAATGGAAAGATGTACTTTTGATTGTCGTGTCACATGCTCTTTGAGGCCTGGCCGGCGACGTACTGACGGTGGAGAGGACGACGTGGACGGCATTGACCTTGGCCGGGAGGTAGGAGTAGGCGATGAAGGCCGGGTAGTAGTAAAAGAACCTGCCCGCGAACTCCTCCTTGAAGCCGCTGTCGTAGTTGAGGTCCATGAACACCTTGGTGATCTGCTCAGAGCGAATCACACGATGTGTCAGTTCTCAAGAAACACGACAACAACGCAACTGCCACTCGTCGACTGCCCAAGTAGCCGTCATACCTGTTCGTGGACTTGGTCGCGCACTTCGGCGCACGCCATGACCAAAACGTCGAGCAGCGACGCTGGCCCAGCCATCACTGTATGGGCGGGAAACGCGGTGGTAAGTTGGCAGTGAGTACGCAGCAGCCTATATGTGTGAGCGGGAGCACTTGCCTCGGCCCTTCAAGAGCTTGGTGAAGTCGGAGATGTGGTGCTCGAGCACGGACGGCCTGTCGGGCGCCTTGAGTATGTCATCGGCATTCCCAAACGACAGCATGGCCTCGGCCATCACCCTGCGCGGCGCATCTCCGAACGAGCACACTGTGTGCATCGTTGCACATACATCAGTGTGGCCTGTGCGAGTTTACCTACACCAGGCGCCGCTCTGGACTAAGTGTCCAGAAAGACGTTGGGTGGCGCGACATACCCTTGCTGATGAAGGTGAGGATCAACCCGATTCCGGCCACGTTCTCCTCCTGCTTCAGATACGACACCTGCCAAAGAGAGGTGGACGTCGGAGTGGTGAGCCGCGATCGTAGTTGATCGTAGCAATCCTTAAAAGACTTGTCGTCGTTTCGTGCGGGGCAGGTACCATGCGAGTATGCAGCAACCCGAGCACGTGGTCCAGGAAGACTTTGGTGACCTCCGGGTTGAAGTTCTGCTCGGCTGTCGACTCGGTCGACGACGCGCTGTGTTTTGAGCAGAATCTGCCATCGTTCGTAAACGAGGAGGAAATGAGCGTTAGAAGGTGCACACGGCACGGCACACGACACACACCGGGGAGGGCGAGTGGTACCCTTTGGGCTTCCAGGCCGCAGGATCGCCGCAGTCGCAGCAGCCGCTGCGAGTTGGGAACCATATAGTGATAGTGTGAGTGACATGAGCAAGTTGGTTGGTTGGTTGGTTGATTGATTGGTTTGATCAAGCGGGAAGAACGCGTACCCGTAGCCCGACGAGTACAGGCGGTAGTCGTGTCCTTCGTGCTGCAGACAGACACACACAACGGCGTGCGTTAGGAAAAGGAGCACCAATCAATCAAGCGCGAGACTGAGGAACGAACGTTTCCGTGCTTGAAGCAGTCCACGCAGATGCAGCTGCTCGAGTTCATCTGACTGGAGGCCACACAACACACCGCACACACCGCACACACGTTGGGTTGAGTGCGAAAGAAGCGCTGCCGTGGTGCACCACGCCGAGGTACCAGTCCGAGCAGCGGTAGGCCATGGCGCCGGGTCCCCAGGTGCGGCCGCACACGCTCGACTTTGCCTCGCCCGGCGGCTGCCCGTTGAACATGAGCCCTACTCCAGCCTGCCGCAAGATGCGAGTAGCGGACCCAAGAAGAACAGATTATTTACACACAACATCGCCGGCACCTAAATTCTAGCACAAGTGCAGCCCATGATGTGCTGCATGCACAAAGATCGCATGCGGTAAGTAGAGGGAGGTGGGGCACCTGCAAGATTTGTTGTATGACTGACTCATTCGATGAAGCGATGGATAGCAGACGGGTGAGCAGGTACATGGTGACCTCGCCCCCCTCTGTAAGGGCCGACTCCTCAGCCTTGTCCATCTAAGATCTGCCGGCTGCGCTTGTGCTCCGTTTTCCGTTTCGCTCTCTTCTGTCCTCTTGCCCACCGAAACTTCCTTTTATTTTTGTTTTCCTTTTAATTATCATTTGCACTCTCTTTTATTTTTTCTTCAAGTAGTAAAATTCTAAAAATAAAATAAAAACAAAAGGAAGATGAGCGGTGCAGGAGTGCAGGCGGTGCGTCGGCGTCGGTGGAGGTGGCCAGGCCCGGGGGCAGACGAGAAGCGGACTCATCTTTCAAATCATACGCTTCCTGCGGAAGGCACGCTTCTGGTCGCTCGCCTCCGTGGCCCTCGCCTCAGCCGCCCTCCGTCGGCTCCTCTTCGGCCCTGCCCGCCCCTCATGGCACACCCCTCCCCTATGCCTTTCGTTTTTTATTTCTTTCAAATAATAATTATTATTTACAATTTATTTATCTAAATAACAATATATTTTATTTTCCAGGTCGTTTGCGTGGGAGATGATCCTCACGTTCATGCGCGTGAGTGCGGTCATCGCGCCGCCGCGGCCCGAGGCCATCGACAAGCTGCGCCGCATCGTGGGCCGACCGCCCAAGATCAAGTCCCGCGTCAAGATCGAAATGGTACGCTACGCGGAGACATACCATGCATGTCCGCGTTGTTGGCGTCCCTAACGACGACCACCTCCTCTTTCGTCGCCAGACGACCATCAACGGAATCAAGTGCGAGTGGATGGAGCACATCTCTGCCGCGGTACTTGCCTCAGAGAGACATGAGTGTAGGCCTATAGGCTGATGATTGTGTTGTCTGCGCACTGCACACGGCTTACAGGATTGCCCGTTGGTCATGCTCTACCTGCACGGGGGCGGCTACTGCATGCTCTCCACGGCCACGCACCGCGGCCTCACCTCCAAATTTTCCAAACTGGCCGGCATCAAAGTCCTCGGTACCGAGCCTTTGCAAGGCCTTTTCTTTGAGTCGTCGTTGACACCAATCTCACCCGCACACGGCCAGCCGTTGACTATCGTTTGGCGCCCGAGCACCCGTTCCCTGCGGCGCTGGAGGACGCTCTTGCGGTCTACACTTGGCTTATCGACCCGCAAGGCGGGGTACCCCTCTCTCTCTCTCTCTCTCTCTTCACTACCTCCCCTCCTCCAATCGCGGCTCATACTCGACCGGCCGCTCGCAACGCGCACAGGGCTATCGGCCCCAAAATGTGGTCATCGGCGGGGACTCGGCCGGGGGCGGCTTGACACTTGCTACCATGCTTCGGTGATCGCCGCACTCCTGCTTCCACTCCCGTGGGCCACATCGGAAAAGCTAGTACTTGAACTAACTGATTGTACTTCAAATTTTGCCAGAGCGAGGGACCAAGGCCTGCCGCTGCCCTCGGCTATCGTCTGCCTGTCTCCCTGGGTACATACCACACACACCACACACCACACACCACACACCACACACCACACACCACACACCACACACCACACACCACACACCACACACCACACACCACACACCACACACCACACACCACACACCACACACCACACACCACACACCACACACCACACACCACACACCACACACCACACACCACACACCACACACCACACACCACACACCACACACCACACACCACACACCACACACCACACACCACACACCACACACCACACCGGCTATTGAAGTGTTCCCAGTAACAAATACTCATTGATACTTGTGTGTAGGTGGACCTGGAATGTCGAGGCGAGAGCTGGAAGAAGTACAAGTCCTACGACTACCTCTCCATGCCCGAGACCTTCAACTGCCCCCAGGTCCGTTCACGCCTTCCTCGCCAGGCACCGCACACCTTTGCCGCACCTCACAGACATTTGTTACCAACACTTGCACGCTATGCTTGAGCAGATGTACGCGGGCAATCATCGGCTCGACCACCCACTCATCTCGCCCATCAACGCTTCCCTGGTCGGTCTCCCGCCTCTTCTCATTCAAGGCACGTCGCACTCTGTAATCAAATATAAATATTTATTTCTTTTTATTTATTTATTCAAATTTTTTAATATTAATGATGGTTTCGACCGCAGTGGGCGAAGTGGAGGTGTTGCGGGACGAGGCAGTGATGCTCGCCGAGAAGGCGAAGACAGACGGTGTCGACGCCACCCTCGAGATCTACACCGACATGGTGCGTCCTGGAGTCCTCACGCCCTGCCTCTCTTTTGTCAAGCTCGCAGGCTCTTATTTGTATGTATCTCCACTCGTTCAGGTGCACGTGTTCCAGGCCTTTGGTGGTCTCGCCGCCAAGTCGCGAGAGGCACTCAACTCGGCCGTGGCCTTCATCCACACTCACATCGGCCGCACTCGCCGCCAATCAGGCCCAACCTCCTTTACTTCCATCACTTCCACTTCCACTTCCTCGTCCCTCTTCGTCGCCGTCGCCGCACTCTGAGGCTGCCCACCCACATCAACATTCCACCGAAGGGGACGTGACGCGGCGCTGGCCCATTGGGCCAAACATCGACGCCTTTTCCAACCATTTTCCGATTTTCCCCCTTTTTAAAAAAGGAACTTTCCGCAAAAGAAAGGAAGTCTGCAGAAAGTTTTTAAGCCAATTGGCGTGTGCCGTTTGGGCTCTTTGGACGTGCCGGCGTCAGGTCGCGACAGAGGTGAAGGCGCTAATTTTTCCATTGCTCCAGTTTCGCCTATTGCACCCACATCGCCGCGTCAAGACACCGCACCACCTCGGTCGTAAAGAGGTCAGCAAGAAGTGAAGAAGAGATGCAGCAAGTCGCGACTTCGCGACGAGTGACTCGACGTGCACGACTCCCTCTGCCCTCGAGCCCACTTCGGACGAGACGCTTGTAGGAGAGGGGATGGATGGAGGCGCAAGTGGAGGAGGAGGTGGAGCAGCGCCCCCGACGCTCTCCTTGCCTACGCTGCTGTTCCTGCTGAACCTCATGAACGACGGCGATGGCAGCTCGAAGGCCGGAGGCCAAGCGGGCAAGCAGCAGGAGAAGCCTGGGCGTCGCGAGAAGAGGCAGCACCACCCCATGAAGCCGCAGCAGCAGCGCCAGGTTAGGGGTGCTGCACGCCTTCACCAGCAGCCGCGAGGAGGCGGAGGCCACCAGCAACGCCCCTGCATCGTCACCAGCAAGCAGCACTAGGGCTCTTCTCCTTATCCATTCGCGCTGTACGTGTAAATCGATATCCTCTCCTATCCCTTTCATGTAGAGACTCTTCTCTTCTCTTCTCTTCTGTCTAGTCTATCCAGATGTGACATGACACCTCTCTGTTGTTGATACGCTCCGAGCCTTGCAAATAGAACACCCTTCACACTTCAACCTTGGTGTCCCTTTGGGTCTCCCTCTTAAGGGGGGGGGGTGCAGCTCTCATGCGGACTTCTTGGGGGCACCAGCAGCGGGTGTGCTCCGCTTGGGTCGCTGGGGACCCTTGGTCTTCTTCGTCGCCAGCATCTGCTCCATCTGCGTCAGCTTCTGCTCTCGAACGTGGCCACACGCGAAGCAAACACGGGTCAGCCTCTACCAACAACAACAACTACCACAACTGCTACACATTGCTACACAACAACAACAACAACGACAAGCTCAGAGGGAGTACGCACCTGCTCACGGTTCTGGTTGGCTCGCTTGGCCAGCTCTCGGGCAAAGGGGCTCTCGTCGATGCTGCTACCCTCCTCTAGTGGTTCAGGGTCCCTATTGTCCTTCTTGTCCGTGCCGTCGCCGCCGTTGCTATTGACGTTGTCACCAACGACATCACCCCCTTGACCAACATCGTCGCTCTGCACAGACGTGGCATCGCCACCCTCGCCAGCGACATTATTGCCACGATCGGCCTCCTTGTCCTTGCCGTCCCCGTCGTCCTTCTTGGCACTGGTGGTGTTGCGCCTCGGCTTCGCCTGGGCCTTGCCCTCCTCCTTCCCCTCTCTCTTCTCCTCCTTCTTCTCCTCTCTCTTCTCCTCCACCTTGTCGTGGTCCCTTGTTGGGTGCTCGTCCTTGGCGGTCCTGTCCGGTGTGCACCGGTCCTTGTCGTCATCGGGCCGCCGGCTTCGCCGCCTGAGGCTGCCGCTCCTCTCCCTCGCCGGTCCCGCCGCCTCCGCCCTCTGCGATACCGGCCTGCTCACTCCCGCCACCACCGGCGCCGGCGGCGGCAGCGCCGCAGCTTCCGGCGTGCCTTTCGTGGTGCTCGCCGCCCTCTTCCCCTCCTTCTCCCTCTCCCTTTCCTTCTCCTTGTCGGCGCCCTTCCTCTCCCTCCCTGTCCCTCTCCTTTTTCTCCTCCCTGTCGCCTCGCCTCTCCTTCGGGTCCCGCTCTCGGTCTCGGCCCCTGTGGCGCTCCTTCTTCTCGTCCTTGCTGTCCTTGCTATCGGTGCCCCTCCTCTCCCGCTGCTTGTCCTTGTCGTCGTCGCGCCGCCGCCGCTGCGCTCCTGCTTTCGCTGCTCCCGGCTGTCCTTCTCTCTCTCTCGCTCCCGCTTGCCCTCTCTCTCCTTCTCCTTCTCCTTGTCGTCCCTCGCGGGCTTCCGCTCCCGGGCGTCGCGGTCCTTGTCCCGCACGTCCCGGCTGCTGCTGTGCAGCTGCTCCCGATCGTTGTTTTTGCTGTTGTTGCCCGCCTTGTTGGCCTCTTTGTTGGCGTCCTTCGAGTCCTTAGCTTCGCGCCCTCGCTCGCGCGGCGTGCGCGAGTTCTTGGACTCTCGCTCGGCGCCCTTCTTCTCGGCGGCGTCGCCCTTCGCCCGGTCGCGTTCGCGGTCGCGATCGATTCGCGAGCCGCCTCGCCCTTCGCCCTTGTCGGGGCGACTCTTGCCGCCCTCGCTGTTGTCCGCCCTTCGCTCCCGCCGCTCTTTGTCGCCGCCGATCCTGCTCGACGCGCCCCGCGCCGACGCCGAGCCTGACGCCCCGCGGTGCTCGCGCGCCACCGCCAGGTCCAGGCCTTCGACCGCGATCCGCTTCTTCTTCTTCTTTTCGTCGCTCCCGCCGCCGCGCTGGTCCCTCGGGTGGTGGTGCTGGTGCTTGGCGTTGTGCGACCGCGACGGCGACGAGGGCGCGAGCACGGCGCGCGTCTCCCTGGCCGACCGTGACAGGCCGGCCTCCTGGTGGCGCTGCTTCGAGGCCTGTCGGCTGCGGGCTGCGGCGGCGGCGGCCTGGGCGGTCTCGGTGGCCGGCAGGTCGAGGCTCTGGGTGGTGGGCTGGTCGGTCTTGTTGCGCCGCCCGAACAGGTCGAGCCGAATGCTACGGCGCTTGGCCGGCTTCCCGTTCTCCTCGGCGGCGTGGGTGTCGAGCTTGTCGGTGGGCCGGTGGTCGCCCGCGCTGTAGCGCCAGAGGCGGTTGAGGCTGAACCGAGAGCGCTTGCGCTGCTCCCCCGTTTGTGCCGACCCTGATGAGAACAGGTAAGAGAAGAACATTTCAGAGATGAGATAAGATTGACTGATTTTGAATGAAATGGCAAGATTTGTTTGGGGGGGGGTTACCAGATTCGTGGTTGACTGCGGCGGGCTTGCTGTCGGCCGAGGCGGATGACACAGGAACTACCGGTTCGACCTCGTTGCTGCTGTTTTCCTCCTTACGCCCCGACGATCTGCTCATTCGCTTCTCCCTCCGCTCCTGACTGGCCTCGCCCCTTTCGTTCATCTTTGTCGTCGTCTTCCCCTTCTTCTTCTTCTTCAATCAAACCCCTCTCGCACCACTAGTCGTGGTGTAGAGCCCAGATCAGAACGGCAGCGGAGACTCGAGTGTGTGTACCCTCAAAATCTGTTCGAACGAGCGAAGAAGGAGGACACCAACAGTGTCTGTGGCTGCGTGTAGACACGTCTCCTGTGGTCGTGTCTTCTAACTTGGTTCGTTTTGGGACGTAAATGTGAATTAGTTGACAAAGTTCTGTGGTATACCGCGTGTGTCGTATTGTGTTTGGTCGCGCGCGTGTTTCGTTCAGTTTAATCGATCGTACAGACGCCTTCCCTTTTAGGAAACTCCAAACCGGATCTGTGTTGGTCGCCAAAAGCAGCCAATGGTTGGTTGGCTGGTTGGCTGTTGTGTGTTGTGTGTTGTGTGTTGTGTGTTGTGTGTTGTGTGTTGTGTGTTGTGTTGCCGGCTGTGTAAGATGGTATTGTGGGTACCTTGCGTCCGTGCTGGGCTCAGCAGAGAAGGCAGCGTTGCTTGTCGCTGCTGTAGCGATTGGCCCTGGGAGCCGCGTCGGGGCTGGGGGCGGGCAGGTCCTCCAGCGCGCACACATCCTGCAGCAGACGCCGAATGCGCTCGCCGTACTGCCAGCCGACGTTGGACAAGGCGTGAGTGTAATGAGTGGCTGTGTGCGGTGGTGCGTGTGCGCACACGCGTGTACCTCAGGTGAGGAGCAATCCGCGAATAGGCTCAGTCGAGGGGGTTTCTGCTTGATGTGTGCGCTCAGCTGTTCCAGAGCTTGGAGCGCCTTGGCTGTGCCCAGGGGAGCCTTGAGCGTTTGCTTGGCGCCGGTCTCCGCACAGGTGGCTTCGTCGATGTCATCCTTACGCTGCGCGTTCCACATCAGACTGTTAAAAAACGTCGAAGGCAGTATGCTAGAACTGCCCTAAGTGTGTGTGTGATGCGCGACGAGTACCAGAAGCTGTCGCATGAACTTGGTCATCAGTTTGGTTATGTTGGCCTTGTGGCTCTGCGCCTGATCAGCCTCCCCTCCAGCGGCCGCGGGCTGTTCTTCCTCCGTCTCGCCCTCCGCGCTTTCCTCCTGGAGCTGGCACAGCGACTGCAGCACCTTGGCCACGACGACCAGATACGTTCTGGCCATCGCACGACACACGAACACGCCAGCGCGTTGTCAGAGGGAAAGGTCGAAGAAAAGAACAGAAGAGAAAGAGAAAAGACAGAGGAGGAAGAGGGTACTGCAGGTCGTAGTCCTTGACCTCTTCGGAGAAGACCTCGTACTGGGAGGAGTCGACGATAGACGGGAAGACGAATCGGTAGAAGAGGCACAGCCGCACGAAATGCCAGCCCTGGCCCGAGCGCGCCGTTTCGGCGTAAATGTGTTGGCACACCCGACGCAGCGGCCTGGATTGTGTGTCGCGCGGGCGGCAAGCGGGGTGGCATGGTGTGTGTGTGTGTGTGTGTGTGTGTGTGTGTGAACAGGTGGCACGAGATGCGCGTGGGGGAGAAGGAGATGCAATTCGTACTGCGGCATCCGGTCGAGGTTTTGAACGATGCGTTCGATGATCGCGTAGGCGTCCTGCGCAATCTCGACCACCTGTGCCCCCCCCCGCGTCAAGCAGGTCAGAGTGAGTGTGGTGCACCAGTTTCTACACGCACACGCTTTAGACGGGACGCACCGTATCACGGCTCATGCCAAAGTGAAGGACGTTATCGTTATCGTGCCCTTTCTTCGCCTTGTTGCTCGCCTTCTTCCGCCTCTTGCCAATGTCGATGAGGAGGTCGGCCAGGAGCTCATGGAGGTAGGCGTCGCCCACGAGGTGGAAGTAGCGCGTGATCATCTTGGAGCAGGTCTCCGTGCTCATCAGGTGGGTCCCTCGGGTCTCCTCCTTGCCCTCTTCTGCACTGTTGCGGGCCGTAGCGGTGGTCGTGGTTGTGGTCGATACGCTACGTTCGCTCTTCTTGTTCTGCTTCTCGCTCTCTCCGATTGCCATGTAGGCCGAGACCATGGAGTTGACGAAGCA